ATTATTATTATTATTATTATTATTATTATTATTATACATTTATCATAATGATATTAATGAGGAAAATGTTTTTAAGAATAACAATTGTAGTCATTTTGATAATAAAGATATGAAAATAATTATTTCGATAATGGCTGTGATAATAATCACTTACCAATATTCTCACCGTCATCATCATCATTAACACCAGTATTACTTGAAGTGATAAGAGTGATAGTGCGAATAATGATAGCATAAGACGTATTCGTATCACTATGCAATCAAGGTCTTTATCATTATTTCATCATCATGGCATTATTAGCTGTGAGTGCAGCAACGAAGCCAGGTTCTGTGGCTGGCTTCCTCAGCTCCTCCGCCGGGCATAATACCAGCGGAGAATATTTAAAAAGCAGGGTGAAGTTAGAAGCTCTCAGCTATTCACTGGAGACTTGATTACTAGATATGACTCTTGATTTTGGCTTTTTGTTTGAAACTGTTCCGAACTATTCAAAGAAAAGTGATTTGATTTTTCTTATTTACCTTCTTCTTCTTCTTCTGCTTCTTCTGCTTCTTCTGCTTCTGCGGGGTGAGGTTGGGTGGTCATTTTATTTTGACATTCTATTTTTTAGTTGTATTCTTCGGATATTGATAATTTGCTTATGTATGAGGAGAAGATTCATTTGTATTTTTTTACCCTATTGATTGTATGTTTTAATTAGCAACTTTTCTCCTCCTGCAGAAAGGCCCGCGCTGTGTCGCGTTCCCCTCACACTCCTTCCTTACAATCCCCATCTCTCAGTGTTTAATTAGATGTCCCGGATCAGAGTACATTTTCCTGCCGTGTAATTATTTCTCGTCCCCCCCCGCAGTGGCTCCCAACCGCCCCCAGATGGAGGTGGAGACGCTGCAGGTGGCGTCGGGCCAGAACTTCACCGTGCAGGAGGAGCGCACCGGCAAGATCAAGTGCATCTCCCGCTTCGGCAATCCTCCGGCGGAGATTAAGTGGTTCATCGGTAAGTGAAAGTGACGTCATGATCATTCGGCCGCGATAATTGGCGGGTGGAGAGGGGTGGGGCCTAGGGAGGGAAGAGAGGTGGGGTCGTTTTTTTGCGGGATTTTTAGGTAAACGAGGCGCGGCGCTCAAAATGCAGATGAACTTACACCCAAGCCTACTCATACTCATATACTCACCTATCCGGAAACACACTTGCCTACCCACAACCATGTATACAGAGAAGTGTGAATTATTTATTTTGTGCAACAGTAGATTTGTCTTCCTTCTGATAGCCCATTCGGAAATGAAGGAGAGTGCTCTCTACAGGAGGGGAAATTGCCAGAAGCCTTTAAGGCCGGGAAAAATCCTGTTTTTTCCGTCAACAAAGGGGAGATTGGCCGCGCCCTGTGCCGTGAAGAATGCTCGGCCTCTGCGAGGAAGGGCCGAGCGAGGGAAATCATGAGTTAGAACGTTAGGTAAACAACGCATGGGAGTATGAGCGTCTTTTTGCAGTTTGTAAAAAGGAAATCCAAAGATGCAAGCGACTGAACAGACTAAGGTGCGAGGTTCATAAGGCAGCAAGCGAGCGAAGCAGTTGGAGCATAGCAGGAAGGTGGAGGCACGGCTAGCCAGCAGGGCGCGGGAGGGAGAGAGAAAGGCAGTGATTGGTTGCACAGGGCCAGTCCGTTGGCCATTACAACAGAATCAGAGTAAGGCAAACCAAGTTAGTGGTTAAATTGGACGGAATTTTTGGTATATTGTCAGGGACGGTCGCCAAAAACTCAATAGTGCAGGAGCTGCAAGAAAGAAGTCTAAAAGGAATGAAAAGAAACGTCGTGGGCGTTTTCATCCACAAAGAAACATTCGTTTTTATTAGGTTTCGTTTTTGATATGCATGTAATACAGTGGGAATCGCCGCGTTTTCCATACCCTTAGAAGAAGCTGCCGTAAAAATAGCAGGCGCTTGGAAGACTCCGAGAGTGCTCTAAAAGTTTCGAGTAAGTGGTTCGGGTGGAGAGAAAAAAATTAGGGGAGCCACATTCAGGAAGATTTACTTAACTGTGTTAGAAATATTTTTTTTACATTTCGTGAAATAAGTTCGTTTGCTCTTTATTTATATCCACACTGGAGCCAGTGCATGATGCTTGGAGCGAAGCAGTCCTAACGCCTCCCGCTGCCCACAGGCGAGGAGGAGCTGCCCGCCGAGGAGTACGAGCAGACCAACGTGACGGAGGCCGAGCGGAGCAAGACGTGGATGGCGGTGTCGTCGCTGGAACACACGTACCACAAGGAGGACCATGGCCTCCCGCTCCGATGCGTCGCCGTCCACCAGGCCTACCGCACCAAGTCCGAGTCCGTCGAGGTCATTCTCGACGTCCAGTGTTAGTACACGAGCAGATTTGTCTCGGGGGAGTCTGCAAGTCTTCTTGCATTCCCCGGAAGCACGTGCGCGCGCGTGCATGTGTGTGTGTGTGTGTGTGTGTGTGTGTGTGTGTGTGTGTGTGTGTGTGTGTGTGTGTGTGTGTG